TTTTTTTTTTTTTTTTTTTTTTTTTTTTTTAACAGAACACCTCAGAGTAATCTATCATTTTTTGGCACCACTGCCATTTATTAGTGTTATCTAAGTTGTACTACTTTCCTTGTCACATCATAAGTTAACCTTCCCTAATCACCACCCTGGACATTTACCAGGCCCTCCCTGGGGAGGTGTTTAACCAGAGCCATGATTTTCCTGTTATTATGTACTCCAGGGTTCTGAAATCTCACGTGGATTTTTCTCAGAGACTGAGAATAAATCTGTAGGAGTCTGATGCTAGGAATTTAACACACTAAACAGATATATGCCTACTTTAAATGAACTCCATAGCTGGTGGCATGGCAAGATCCTCAAAGAATCCCACTTTTTCCTGCACATGCTGCTTTTATGGAAGCTTAATAGAAATGGTTTAAAGTCCTCCTCCTCTCTCAGACAACCAGCAGTTTTCCTTCCCTGGACACCCATGGGAAGCAACAAAATGACAATGATCCAGGGAAAAGGTAAACTCCTTCTGAAAGCACTGCAAGGAAGCACTTAGGCTACAGACATATTACTCATGAAAGACCATTAGCTCAATCCAGGGTCTCAAACAAGACCTTGAAGACCAAATGAACTGGTCAAAAAAGCCAACCAAACAAAACACACAGTAATTCCTGGTTTTCACTAGCAGGGATATAGACCAAGCAGAGAACTGACAATTCAGCATCTACTCTCTTGAGTATTTTTCAGCCTTAGAAGGGAAAGTTGTTGCCAATATATCCAAACTCAAAAATTTCTTAGGCTAGGAGAGGAATCCAACAAGAGACCAGCTGTGCTGAGTTAAGGTACTCCACTTAAAACATCCCATCAATCACAGAGCAGGAGAGTGCTGACGTTATTTGTATGAAATGTAAGAGTGCTATTACTCACCTGCAATTAAAAAGAATAGTTTGATTTGGTTTCTTGCCGAGAGAATTATGTGAATGTTTTCCCTTTTGCCAGGTTATGAATTTTACCATCTTCCATAATCTGCAGGTAGCATTCCAGGTTCTGACTAAATTGTGAATGATACAAGTCAGATCATTTTGGAGGGGAAATCATTCTTTTTTCTGAAACCTAAACTATAAACCTTTGTTTCTTTTCATCCACATTCACTGCAAGGGGCTGGCTTACAATGTCATGAAAGCACTGTTTTAATTGGTACACTTTTTTGGCACAGTTTGAGAAGAGTCCAAGATCTGCATGGAGACTTGATTATTCCACCCTCTCTGGATTTGTACCCTCAAGGCATGGATTAAGATGAGACATTAATGGGGCAGCATGCAAAAGCTTGTATTACTGAAATAGATCTCCTTGGTAGATAAAAAGAAATGGGAACTTTCCAACTTGCAATTCTAAGCAAGAACAAAGCTACAGATGGGGAAAAGAGTCAGACAAGGATCTGGGCAAAGACTGGTAATGCATTGAAAGCATGGGAGCCATCTAGAGGGGACTTTGGCTGGGTTGCATCTTCCAGTGTTAGGAACCAGGAGTTCACAGGGCTCTAAGCACAGCTTTATACCATGTCTGGCAAAGGGAATCATTTCATTTGCATTAAATGCATGAATGCAATAAGAAAAGAAAAGAAAAGAAAAGAAAAGAAAAGAAAAGAAAAGAAAAGAAAAGAAAAGAAAAGAAAAGAAAAGAAAAGAAAAGAAAAGAAAAGAANAGAAAAGAAAAGAAAAGAAAAGAAAAGAAAAGAAAAGAAAAGAAAAGAAAAGAAAAGAAAAGAAAAGAAAAGAAAAGAAAAGAAAAGAAAAGAAAGAAAAGAAAAAGAAGACGACAAGCAAAGGCAGGTAAAGAGAGTTATTCTAAAGAGAAAAACTCTTTGGGTAAATGCCCTTGGTTCTTTTTTATTTTCCCCCAGGTTCAAATCTACCATTTTCTCCATATTCTTTTTAGCTGACATGGAGCTTCTTCATACCAAGTTGCCTCAATGTTCATCAGAGTAAGAACACATAAAAACTTTGAAGTATTAAAAAAATATTTTCTTGCTCCCAGAGACATTTGCTTGAGGACTTCTCTCCCAGAAAATAAAATTAATTTTTAAAAATTTTGAATACTCACATTATAGAAAACAATTCACTAGAGGAGTATCCATTCAGCCATCTTAAAGCTATTTTTTGATTCAGGTCATGAGAACCATAAAGTGAGTTAACCAGGTCTGGGTATAAGCTACAGCTCTATCTTGATGCTGTATTAGACAGGTACCCAAGCATCCATATGTCCACCCCTTCACTTTGGTTTCTGAAAGAAAGAAAATAAAGTTTGTGAGACTGAAGTGTCCCTGTTTGCACTCTGATGCTTCAGGAGATGCCACACAGCATTTATCTAACACAAGCAAATAGAGCCAAGAAACAAAACACATGAGTTGCAAAACCCAGCCTTTTTAGTATCCAGTGGAGGACAAGTAACCACTCACTCTTTCCTGAGTATTCCCACTCCTAATTACAAGAAACCATCCAAATGTTCCACCCAGAGGGTTGATATTGCAAAGCAACAGCTAAACACAGCCTTACAAAACACAAGTATTTTGTCACATAAATCTTTCCCTGGCAGTTCCCTTCCACATGGCTTTTTCCTACTTCTCAAACTTCTTGAGGATGTTTGAGGGTGTAGATAACACAAAGTAACCTGTCTTCTTGTAGTGGAGAGACAGAAAGATTTGAAACCGGCTTATCTCGGGGTCATATCCTGCTATTGATTTTTTTTAGCACTCCCTATTGATTCCAGCAGTGAGTTCCACATACGGATCAATACCAGGATATAGCCTTTATTTATTAGTACACTTCTGGTCCTTCCACTCTACCCTAATGCCTCAAAACACATGGAATTAATTACAGCATTCCACATTATATTTGCTTTGTTGTCTTTAGAGGAGTTAAGCCTTCATTTGGTCAACAGAATAATTTGAAAGGATTGTTTTGTGACTTCTGCCATTGATCCAAAAATAGAATCTGTGACACATTCTTTAGGGGCAGGGATGAAGGAGAGGAGCAGAAATATGTGGATAAGCACGTCCTTTGGCTTTACCAGCACTTCCCACTTGCAGCAGCACTAAATTCCCAGCAGAAGTTTCTTGACAATGAAAAATTCTCTGCATTGAGTCAGCGGTCTGTTTGTCCCGACCTAGCCTGATCTTACAGACATCATGTACTGAAGAAATATATGTCGGGCACTTGGCTGAAAGTTCCCCTACTACTCATTTCTGAACTTCATCAACATCTTTTACTTATCAGGTCAGACATACAGGAACTGGAATTTTCAAGGAGTTCATAAAATATGCATTTTTTACTTCCTGGGACTTGGAAGAGCAGCAAGCTGAAACTGACCTGGAAAAATTACTATATATTCTCCAACTGCCAAGAGCAGGACTAATTAATACATTCTCCAACAGCTCCCAAGACCAGGACTAATTTCATCAGTTTTTCAGTAGTTCTGACTCAGGGCCTTGGCCCCATGCTGCAACTGGGCCCTATAGCTTTACCAGCCCAACTTAGGTTTGATACAGGTTTCAAACTGCACAGGAACTGAAAGGTGAAGTGTCTTTAAGCAAAGTGCCTTTCATTTCTCCCTCGTGTCACAGAATTCCTTCACGGATGCAGGCATGGGTTAAAACTGGCCATGGGACTAAACTGAATGTTCTGTCTCCTGAGAAATCAGATCTTCTACACAAAGTTGTAACATTTAATGGCCAAAATGCAACACTATATTTAAAAGCAGAGTAAATAAAACACTTCCTTCCTAGGTGCTATGCCTACATTACCTTTCTGTGCTCTGCAAAACAGCACCAAGGTAACCTTATGCATTCAGAACACTTTTTCTTTAAAAACAGAAAACCAAATAATCTTGTCAGTGTTTCTAGATTTACACTAGAGGCAGAGCAGAAGATGAACAGTCCCAAATTTTTCATCTATTACCCAACCAGTGAATCCTTGTATTGGGATGCAATAAACCAATAGCTACTTTTACAAGTACTGCCTGCACCTGAGTACATTTGATTTCACCTAAGTGGGCAAAGGAACAAATGAGCAAGGAAAAGAAAGTGCAGAGGGAAAACAGAGCTTCAGCATTTGTTCAACTGCCTTGGAGCCTTAGGAAAACATCAGTGCTCTGTTGACTTTACTTCTCTTGTTCTCCTTTACATCACTGGAGGGTCTGGCCTGTGCTTTAAGAAAATACTGCTCCTTTTCAATTGTTAAATAGTGACAAAGTCCAGGTGACCCTAACACAGAGCCAGAGTGGTTTATGTCAGGCCTGGAGACAGTGACTCATGGAGTTACAGATGATCGGTTGATAAATGCCACCAGTATCAGAAACTTGGCCATTAACATGAGTGATGTGAGAACCAAGAGGTTAAGTAAAAGCTGCTTCCATAATGAGGGCACGATACAGAAAAGCAACCATTTCACCCAAGCTTGGATTTTTGGTTTTGTTTCTCTCTTCCCCTTAAGGTGGATTTTACTTTGTAACTTTTGCTTGGTTTCTAAGTTCTTTTTTTAATGTAAAGATTTAATTTTTCATGAGTGGGAAAAGGCTGCAAAAATGTTAGAAAGAGGTTCAGATGAACCACCAGGAGGTCCACTAGGATTCTTTTTTTTTCTCCAAGATTCTGCTGCAACAATGCAATGTGTTTGCCACAACCTGCTGGGTTTTGGAATTGCCTTTGCTTCCAAGTGACTCAGGAGCTGTTTTTAATGTGTTTCTAGGAAAGAATAAACGGTATTATTACATTCATTACAAGCAGTAAGTTCCCTTATCTGCAGTCAAACATAAGACCAAGGACTTTGCTGATGCAGAGCCCTCATGAAATCTTCCAAAGTTTTATTGCTTAAATGTATAAGCAGGCAGCACCTTAGACAACTGCTCTGAGCAGTCTTCTTAGCAACAATTCAAGAATTCAATATGTCATTCAAGTCATTGTGTTCCACTTTTTCTAATCTTCAGTGATTTAATGCAAAAAACCCCTACAATTTAGAAAAACTGTGGGAAGCTTTGGCTGCCAACATGCAAAATCCCATTAATTATCAAAGTAGAAGCTAGTATTTCATAGTGGGTATAACTAATTCTGAAGCATTTGTATGTAAAGTATGTATGCTGTATTTTTAGTGCACCAAGCATTTACAGTCATATTTCTTCTCTTCATCATCTTATTTCAATAAGAAAGAAGAAAAAGCAGTTTAGGCCACTAAAATTACAGATGGATTTATGAAAATGCTGTCCACTCATCAGAGGATTTAAATAAATATAGGGAAAGAGGTAAGAAGTCTTCCTGGCTTGTGGAGGCTTTAAGCATAACAGAGAATGCCCTCATAAGGCTCAGTATTTAATGTATTTCAATCTAGTAAACATATTCTCTCTCAAGAGGAAGGGCTAGAGTACAATTGATCATATATTCATCAACAGTAATATGAGCCATTACCAGAAATCCATTTTGCAGTAATAAATATTTTTCTGTTATATTTCAGTTTGAAATTAAGTTATTATTTACCTACAAATACAGGGAAGAGGTGTTTCCTTTTCTCTTTCCATGTTCAAAATTATTTTAATTTAATTATTCATACAGTGGGAAACACAAAAGAAGTCAAAATCAGAATGAAACATCACACATGATACTTTCTCAACCTCTTCAATAAAAACTTCTGGTAGAATTCCTAGTCAGTTCGGGATTTTGGAAATCTTGCTTCTCTCTGGTGTGTGAATAAACATGGAAAGCTTTAAATATCTGCTACAGATCATCTTAAATTTGCTTAGAGATCATTTTATTTTGTGACGCTGGTCTTAACACTTGAATGCAGATTTATTAATCCATCTTTTCCCATCAGAAGCCAGACTGGAACCCAGGAGTTCCCCACAACACACATCAGGATTCTGGCAAGGTATGATTTCCCCTACATGATCGTCCCTTTCATCTCTTCCATGCCAGTTTTGCTCTGCTATCAAAACTGCTGAAAGATGAAAATTATTAACCTCATGATGCTCCAAACTTGACTGAACCAGCCCTGAACAACCTGGTCTAGATGGACCAAGTTTGAGCAGGGAGATTCTCATGGCATAATTAAAGGAATTATATATTGTTCTTGACCTTCTGAACCAGGTAGAAGCAAAATTTTTATCTCAAAATGTAAAACTGAAAATTCAAATAAATTTTACATTAAAAAAAGTAAGAATTGCTGAGAATGAAAACTACTTTTTGCCTCATATTAGGCCATTATAAGGTGAAAGTGCTGACATTTTTTTCTTTTTTATAGTACTGATATTAATATCAGCCAAAGCTTCCAGACCTGAAAACGAAGTCTTGGATTTCCATCTTGCATTTTTTTGAATTTTCTGGGCGTGGAAATTTGGGTAACATGCTGAACTCAGAAATGATTTGACATTATTAATTTGAAATGAAGAAGTGATATTTGGCTAGAAGTAAGGGGAGGCCCATTCTGTGGCTTAGGAATTCAACATCTGGTTGCAGAAAACAGCCAATAAGCAAATCTTGCAACATTTGTGAGCAAGATGCAAGATTGTAAGACGATTACACCCTGGAATCTGTAGCGTGCAATCCATCCATTTTGGATCATCTAACAACACAGCACCCCTGAAAAGCAGGCAGCACGTATTGCAGTGGTTAATAAAAATTTAAATGGCTTGGAACACTCACAGGAAATCACAATTGTCTCCTTTGTGTCACATAAGAAAAGCAGAGCAGCAAAGGAGAGGCTCCTTATGAAGACCAGAGTAAAGGAAAGAATTTGAAAAAAAGGAGATGTTGGATATGTTAGTGTGGCAGACTGGAGATTATTTTGAAGTGATGGAGTTATTATAGCTGTATGAAACCCCCCTTCTTTACAAGGAAACAAAATTAGAAGGAAGAAACCAACAAACACAAAAGTGCACATTATCATTAGTGCTGACTCTTCAGCTCCTAATAAATGAGCCGAGCTGTCTGCAACACCAGAGCACTCACCAGTTTGAAAGTCCTGAAACTTTTCCAGAGGCTGTTTTGTTTATTTCTGTTGTAGCCAAATCCACTTAACAGGGCACTGTGATAAACACCCCTTTCCCCTGAGTTGTCCTGATAGTCAAGAGATTGAGTGCCAGGTGCTCACAAAATGTGGTAAATAATTTTCTGTCTCACCCACTTTAGAAGCAGAGCTGCCATTCTGTGCAAGCCTGCTGTGTTTTCCTGATGTACCTGCTGGCTGCTGCTCTTACTTCGTTTTCTTTTTTCAGGCATTAAGTACAATCTGTGGGTT